AGCTGTGCAAAGGAGCATTGCATGTGAACGGGGCTTTAGTTTGCCCAATGTAAATTAAGCAACACTGGCAAGGAATCCTGTAAATACCCTAAGAATCTGGAATGGGTCCTTCAGTATGGAACTTGGAATTTTATTAATGGGAGAATAAAAGACCTGAAAGTTAAATTTCTGCAAAATACGTGCAACTTTATAGTTAATTGATGGAATGAAGGGAATGACAGCAGAATTTTTATAATCTCCTAAAACAAGAGTTTGCCTGTTGGGTGTGTCGTGATGAGAATTTTTTAACTGCTTGATTAATAATGTTGGGTGAAAAGCCCCTGAACTAAATTATTTAAAAGCTGTTGCTTTTAAATAATTTAGTTCTTCATCAAAGGATAGTTTGGAAGAGCAAATTTGAAGACCACAGAAAACAGGAATAAAATGAAACTAACTTTTGTTCAGTCGCATGACATGATTTGAAGTATGGTGGAAGGCAAACCGATTAAGGTTTACGGTAAACCGTAGTACTGAAGTTGGATGTATTATTTGTGACCAGAATGTCGAGAAACAGAAGAGAATTACAAGTTTCAAGTTCAAAATTGAACTGAATAGCAGGATCAGTGGAATTCATTGTTGAAAGAACTTTATTTAAATCATCTTTATCACCCTCAAACAGGGTAAAAGTATCATCTCCGTAGTGGAATTATACCGGGAATTTTAAAGTATCAAACAATTTTGATTCATAATAATGCATGTAGATATCAGCCAGGATGGGACTGAGAGGGCTTTTCATGGCTGACTGAGGGATTAGCCATGGGAAGCCCCCTCAGTCCCATGTGTTCATTCTTGGGCATGTGTAATATTATGTAATCAGAAATGCATCTGTAATACATGGCAGATAGATGAGAACAAAGCTAAATGTCAGAGGAAGTATAGAATATTTGATAAAATTCCGATTGCTTCATTTCTGTTTGATAAAGAGAATGAAGAAAATAAGAATTTTGATTTTATTTTAATAATATTTGTCAGAATTTTGTGGTACATTAAAACTGTACTTATTACTAAAAAATAATATCCGTCTTAACATTATGACGATTAATCTTTCTCCATTGACTTTTAATAATTTATTGATTTATTTTTCATGTAAGCATGATCATTTACTTTCCTTTTCATATTTTTTATAAATTATCTTGATTCTGTAACAGCTTTATAGTGTAACTTACTTTGCATCCATATTATTCTCTTTTCAAATTCATTTTTGTGCCAGTCATTGTTCCTAGTATTTTTAATTTTTATAATTGGATGAATGACATTTCAGCAGTCCAAAGAGGTGATGCTTCCTAATGTGAAGTTTTGGTCTTTGCTGCTCATATTGCTATCTGTTCGCCCTGATAGGAAGTGCAGTGTAAGAGTTCTTGATGTCTTTGGTAGCATTAAATGACCTTGAATTCAATTGTGGATCTGCTATGTGGCAGTTAAATGCCGTGCTGCTATTGCAAAAGTTTCCAGTATTTGAATTGCTTTGTGGTGCAAACATTTTTGATTGGTTCTTGAAATCACTACATCCTCCCTAGCATTTTTAATGCGATATGAGGAGCTGCGACTTTGCATTATAATTTAGCCTTTTTTGTGGGCATGACTGCGAGCCATGTGAAATGATTGATTTATTCCTGCATTGGCCGGCCATGAGCTGTCAGTATGTCTAGTTGGGCCTGTTGTGGAACATGGCACATGCGATATAGTTCCTTATTTTCTTTCCAGATAGGCAGAGGTGGGTGTTCTTATTATGTCTGGGTCACCACTGTGGTGGTCTCAAGGGGTGATGCTCTCTGTGACTTTTCGATCTTTGCTGCTTGCTTGTATCGCCATGTATTTGCATTGATGGGAAGTGCAAGTTCCTAATGTCCTTGTGATGTTAAATTACCTTTGGATTCAATTGTGGATCTGCTACCTGGCAGTAAAATGCTATACTGCTATCACAACAGAGCTTCTGTATTAATTTCCAATATTTGAGTTAATTCATATTGCAGTCGTTTTTAATTGATACTCAGGATCAAAATGCACTTCCTTCCATCATGATAACAAATTGATTATCAAGATTAAATACATAGAAGCAATTATTTAGAAGGTAAGTACAGTAGTTTTCCTCATTATGTGAAGATCTTGTTAGAGGCAAGAGTCTGTAGACAAGACTTTCGGAGCATTCTGAGTATTTGCTTTGTATGGAACATTTTTCAGATTGAATTAATCACGCCTTTTTAATTTTTTGGTTGTGTTTTATGGCATCTGATTCATTGTAGTTGAAGATGATGCCAGAGAGCTGGCAGAATCATTAGTTGGTCAGCCCTCCTGTGTCTAGAGGTTTTGATGACAGATGCACTGCAGATCACAAAAGTCTTCTGACACTGGTTATGAAACTTTGTAATTTTAAGTGGAAGCATCACGGAACAAGTTTTTGCTTGTGTAATGTCAGAGTATGTCATCTCACATCTGATAACAGCTGGAAGACTGGGGAGAGGAGAGGGCACACATGAATTTTTTTAATCTTTGTGTGGTCTGTGGCATCACTATAAAGTTAATAGTTTTGATTTAAAGGTTATACATAAATAATCTGTTTTTCAGTTTAATATCTGAAAGCTATCATAATTATATTTTCTACAGTGTCAAATGTGAAAGTACAACAAAAATTCAAACCAATTTTGTTTTTGTAAAAACATACATATATGTAACTAATATAAAAATGGGAAAAGTAAAGTGTAAGATAAAGTCTATATACATATAATAATATATGTAAAATATAAAAAAATTACTAACTTAATTAGCAATAGTCCTTTAAATTTCCTCTTTTAGATTTTTATATGTTCTCCTCTTAGCATCTGCAATGTGCATCTCGACTGTGTCACTTCTAGGTAAATCCAATAACTTAATAATGCTGAGGACATAACTAATTCGAAACTTCTCTAATTCAGAACTTCTCTAATTTTTTTTTTATTTTTATTTTTTTATTTTTTTTTTTATTATTTATTTATTTTTTTTTTTTTATTTATTTATATATAGTTTTTTTTGTGTGTGAACTTTCATATTGTATAACCGTGTACTTAAACTTCTACCTCTCTTCTCATTTGAAAAACTTGCATCGTCTGTCGCTGCTTGGTTTCTTCTGTTGTTTCAGAAATATGATTTCATAAATTCTGGTATTATTCACTGCCGTAATGTTCAAAAATAAATTATGTGCTTACTCACAGTATGATTGTCTGCAAATCATTCATCCTTCTACTACACAGTTATGCCATAACCACCTGATTATTAGTCTAGTATAGAGTTTCTTAAACTGCGGGTCGCGACGCCAATTGGGGTTGCGGGACTTGAAGTAGGGGGTCGCCAGAAATTTAGAAATTTTGATATTTCTTTAAATTATTATAATAATTTTATAATTACCAAATGTTTTTACATAATGTATCTGAAAATAGATAAAGATCAGACAATACAAAGAAAAAACAAAAACGTTTCAATGCATTTTTTTTTAGAAACGTTCATTGTATTTTAAAAATTAAAGTCAATGACCGAAAAGTTATCACCGGTTGGTCAAGGAAAACAACAGTGACTGCTGACATTTATATCACCCTGCAGGTGAAAAGGTGTCAAAACCAAGCAGCAGGCAACATTGCTCAGCAGTTGTTCATGGTAAATGGACAACAGGTTTGCTGATTTTCTATGGCCATGACTTAAAATGTTCATTTTGTATATGACTTCATAAAGGTGGCCTTATTTGACCACTGTCTGAAATGCAGCATATCATTGACAATGGCCCAGTGGCAGCAATGCAAACAAAAAGAACACAAAGAATGGACACCTGATCATGACCTCTTTATCCATCAAAGTCATATCAGTCTGACAAATGATTATCATGGCCAGTTGATGAGGGAGAGAGGTAGAGATGTGCTTTCATCCCAACATCAGGACTGCTGGGATGGTTCTGGCATATTTATATGGTGAGGTGTTATGATGAACGAGTGGACAGAGCCCCATGTTGTTGACAGAGGTTCACTTAACCAAAGATTGCTAGTATGAAGTTATCCTCTCCCATGTGAATCTTTCTAAGGTGCCATTGATCCCGACTTTTTTTATGGATGACAGTGCACAGCCACATGGGACACATTCTGTTGAAAACCTTCTAGAAAGTGAAGATATCCACAGAATGGATTTGCCAGCATGCTCCCCTAATTTAAATGTGTGGGATACTTTAGGAAGATTTCCTGCGAAAAGTCTTACCCTCTGGACAACACCAGGCAACTGAGACAGATGCTTCTTGAAGAATAGAAATACACTAATAACTGTTAGATAATATGATGTTGAGTATTGACAGACGATGGAGTGCAACCATTGCAGTTAAGGTTTGTCATGCCTCTTACTAAGCCTCTTTGGCTTGTTGTTCTCTGTCTTGGACTGACAAGTTTTTGTACCAATACCATACTGTCAATAAAGCCTCCCCCCTTTTTTTTTCTGTTTGTTCCATACTGTATGCATTCTATTCATTTTTTTTTTTTTTTTTTTTTTTTTTTTTTTTTTTTTTTTTTTTTTCTGTTGTACTTTTCTCTTTCTTTAAATACTACATTATGCCTTTGTAGCATGAATTTCATGTTTCACAGTTGATTTTTTCTGGAATTAGTCGAAATTAGAAAAGTTCCTTAAGTTTTGCACACTAACGTATTTCATTTTATGAAAATTATATTACATTTTTGATATACTTGCAGATGTTTTGCAGTATGTGATATAAAATTGGACTAAATATATGTCCATATGTAATATTAACACAAAAAATGAAAATTCAAATTAAGAAATATTTTATCAAAAATAAATTCTATAGGAAAAGAAAAAAAGAAATTTAATTAAAAATATTTCACATAGAACTTGATATTTGTTATGGAGTGTAAGAATTTGATTTTTAATACCATTATTTAAAAACTGTAAATACTTTTAGTACTATTTTATCCGTGATGATTTTTATATTTTTTCAGAACTGTCAGTGTGAATTCAACAAGTCAGAATGTTGCAAAAAATCCAAATATCTCAAAATCTGAAAATGTGCCAACTATGAATGGAGGTATATATTTTCTATTTTTTTAGCTTTTTCATGCATTAATTTTGTATATTTTATCAGCATCTGAAATCCATAATAATGCCTCTTCGTAATATTTTCTTAAAAACTACACTCACTTCCAAAAGTTAAGCACGAAGTTGTAAAATGCAAAAAAATCAACAAATACTGCTTTGATTGACACAAAATTCGGCAGGAAAGTAGCGTACAGTCTACTCATATGTAATCTTCGGCGTACATTAGCGCTGATATTGGCTTATTAATGGACGCTGTAACCATAGATGTCACACGTGTGGAGGTCGCTTTGCGATTCCGCTTGGATACAATAGCAATATATTGATCTTCTGCGGGCCTTTGGACAACTATCTGTGTGGTTTGGAATTGTTTCCATAAACGTGAAATTACAGAATGATGAACGCCGAAGAAAAGAGCAACATCTGTGATCGACTGTCCTGCTTCAATACACCCCACAGCACGCCAGCGCTCAGAATCTTCCATTCGTCTTTTAGAAGTCATAGAAACACGCATTTCTTGAAAACAAATTGTACTAAAATTTTAAACACCTTCTATCAGCACTTACAATCAACTTCTGTAACCCTTCATATAGCTGGCTTCTTATAAGACTGCCTTTTTTTTTTTTTTTTTTTTTTTTTTTATATTTCTTGACATGAAACTGCGATTGGCTGTTACCTAACATATTTGCATACTTCCACCTACCTCTGCAGCGAATTGCATCCTCTTCAATTCTGATTGGCTTCCAAAAGTTAGCATTTTCCTCTCCGTGTTTAACTTTTGAAAGTGAGTATATAACATTGCTACTCATTTCATTTAGGCATAAAACGTAATGTGTAACACATTGTGTTTGTCCAAGGCCAATAGAGGCGGTAACCATAAGGGTTTTTTTTTAATTCTCAAGTTCAGTGACATCACTTAATGTATAGATGTAGAGAAGACAAAGACATAAAGGGAATAGCTGTTTTTAAGCAGACCGTGAGTCAGTGATGTCGAGTGACTGTGTTATTACTTAATGCAAAATATAATGTATTGAAGCCATGCCTATCATATGAAATAAATTTTTAAAAACAACCATAAAAATTGGCTGCAGTGATATATTACTTATCAAAATAGTGATGTGGAGTTTTTTAATGTAAATTCTTTTGAATAATTTCATATTAAAATGCTGTTCAAGGATTTGCGAAAATTTAGCAGTATCAGAAATCTGTAAAGCTTCATTCAGTTTTGTCGTCATAAATCTTTGTGGTTTAAGGCATAAATATCATTAAGTCCATTCACAGGTCTTTTAGCAGGGTTTAAGCCATAAACAATTAGGGAAAGGAAATGTGCACATACATAAATGTGTAGTTGACTCTGTGAAACCATCGGCCGATGTTTGTTTCGCTGTGCCTAGGGATTTTTATACCAACTTTATATAAAGTTGAAAAGTTAGAACTTTTAGGCAAAATCCTTAAAGCAGTTTTTGTGATACGTCAATGTTTGGTTGTTTAGCAACAAAGCTCAGCTTAAACCTGTTATGATTTTAAAACCATAGTGTAAATGAAGCTTAAGAGCACTTATTTTTAAAAAGTATTGATGAAAAAGAATTTTATGATGCGTAAATCAAGGATGCAAAACCCATAAGTTAAAAAAAGCCCACACAGCATTTTGGATTTATAGCTTTTAAATATCTTTTGATTTCTGAACTTGATATTAAATTTCAAAGGTCTGCATTTGTTTTTTACTTTTCAAAATACACTCTGCTGCAAAAAAATCTAAGAACCAAGAATGACTTTTGCAATCGTGATGGAATTTGGTATGCAAAAACATCTTAATCGAACAGGCAAATGATCAAAGTTCAAGGAAAATGAGCAGGAATTTCGATCATAATGCACATTTCTAGTGCACAATTCGCAAAGTATAAAACCAGCAACAGACGTGTAAAATTTATCTTTTTTTGTTGCTGCCATTAAATGTCATTATGATGATATCGAACACCTTACAGATAACTAAACGACTTCATACGTGGTCGCATTGTAGGGTTGCATGAAGCTGGGTGGTCATACCGAGCAACTGGCCACCACCTGCAGCGTACAGACATTGCTGTGCAAAGATGTTGGCAGCAATGGTTGCTACAAGGAAATTATCGATGAAATGAAGGCTTTGGAAGACCAAGGAGCACAAATGTGAGGCAATAGGATGATTGTTCGCCAGGCCCTAAACCGCCCCAACAGTATCATTATCGACTATTCTACACATTACAGCCTCCTGTGGTACTGTTCATCATCTCACGGCTCTTGTCTAAGGCAGGGTTATGCTCACAGAGCCCTTTAGGACGTTTGGCTTTTACCCCCACAACATCAGTGGAGTAGTCTAGAGTAGCGTCACAGACGATCATCATGGCTGCCATCAGACTGGTATTGTGTAGTGTTCAGCGATGAATCCTGCTTCACTCTTGAAGCAGATGGATCAACGTGTTTGTGTCTGGAGAGGACGAGGACATCGGTCCCAATCAGCCTTTGTTTCACAAAGGCATATAGCCTTAAATTCTGGTGTGATGGTGTTGGGCACTATTTTTTATGACAGCAGGTCATCTTTAGTCATCCTCCATACATCTTTAACAGCTCAACAGTATGTTGATATCATCCTGCGGCCAGTTGCATTACCATTCATGGCACATCATCCTGGAACCATTTTCGAACAAGATAATGCCAGGCCACATACCACTCGCATATCTCTGGACTGCCTTCGTGTGGTTCTTACTCCTCCTTGGCCAGCAAGGTCACCAGACCTTTCACCAATCGAACATGTCTAGGACATGATAGGCTGCCAGATTTGGGTACCACAAAAAAATTAAGTGTCATAAGACAGTAATAGTTTGCAAGCCTTTCAGCGAGTTCATAAATTTATTTTTTGATAGAGACTTTTTTTTTTCATTAATGCATGAAAAAAAAAAAGATTTAATTGTGGTAGGGTAATTGTATAAATTGGGAAATCATTTAAGCTTGTTTGAAAAAGGGAAAGACTTCAGATTTTTACAATTGCCCAAAAGGGCTCTTTTAAAGTTTAATATTGTTTATCTACAGAGATTATCAATCAAGTTGGCCCAGGAGGAATGGCAAAACATTTTACAGGATATTAAATGGGAACATATATCTTCTGTATATTTTAAAATTTAAAAAAAATATGTAGTAGAATTCTATGAAAATATGTAATGTTTTTAAATAGAAATATCATGAATTAAATGCATTTTTATTTAAATCAGATTTAAAAAATTTAAAAAAAAAGATATTCTTAACTGCATCTATTGCTTTTAAATAGTTTCGATAATCAAAAGAACTGTCATTTGTTTGTCATATTGACAACAAAAAACCATTGTGAGTGCATATTACACACACAAATTTTCAACAGATGAGATTGTTTTAAAGAAATTTTAAAAGCCATAACTAAACAGTATCTGTTATAAAAATGATTATATTGGGCATATATAGATGTTTGTTTTTCCCTCATTACATTTGTTTCTTATGAAATGTTTTTTTATTATTTTATTTATTTATTATAAACAGAATAGTACTAGTGTGCTATAAAGGTAGCCAAAGAAATAATTTTCACCAATTAACATAGTTCCTATTATGGTGACAAAATGTTGGGGGGTGGGGTGCTGATCAGAAAGTACTAAAATTTTTATGAAAAAATTTAATAATATACATATATGCTGCCAGTGCAATTAGGAATAGTGTTCATCTTGATTAATAAATTAATTATAATGCTAATATAACTGAAAGCAAACTGATTTATAACTTAAGAATTTATTACTAGATAGAGAATCAGATATATTTTCAACATTCATTTTAATGTTCTAGAAATCCATAATCACTTGGAAATTATAGTAATGAATGAGTTTTACAATATTTTTCTTTCAATGCAAATTTTTGTTTTTAGGTCACATTAGCAGTACAGAGCCTTTGCAGTCAACCACAACAGTCAGTGATTCTCATGAAGAATTGCGGCGCAGGCGGCTCCAGAGGTTTCAAGAGCAGGGTCATTCTGCTCCTGAGCAAGGAGGAGATAACCATGACCAGCAAGTTTAATTTTTGAAGAGAGTGATAGATTTCAAATATATTCTGTCCATTTGTTTGATTGTTTGGGAACTTTTTCATGCTGCATAGCAGGAGTGCTTAATCACTTATTTAAGGACACAATATTTTGCAGCAAATTTAAAGTGATCACTTAAAATATCGTGTCATATTATGTACATATTGTAATACTGATAATAAAAAGAAACTTTTTTAAGTGTTCAAATTTCACAATATAAATGAAAACCCTTCTTCGAGAACTTGTTTTATTTCAATGTATAACAATTTTACAACAGAAAATAGATTTCTCTATAATAGACTACAATATTCACATATCACAAATAAAAACAAGGAAAATTTTTATAATAGTTAACACCAGGTTAATCACATGAAAATACTAGATAAACAAACTTTGCTCAAAAAATAATTATTGTATATACTAAGACTTTGATACTTGACTAGATTTATAAGCAATGCCGTAATAACTTGTGAACATTTTTTCTGCATTAAAAGAAGCCATGTGAATATAAATAAATTGCAATAGTGTTAAAGCTTAAATTATATATTTTGGAAAAAAATATATGGTTGAAAATGAAGACATAAAAGTGTAAATAAATAATAAACAGTCTTTAAAATATTTTGCTTCTGTTAGTGAATTGTAATAAACTACTTGAAAACTTAAAACACAGTCTAAAATTGCATTCCTGAGAATTCTCAATCATCATTAATGTTTACAAAAGAAGCAAAGAATTTTTATTTTAAATATAAGATTATTTTTGTTTATAATGTTCTACTTATTTTTTGTTACAAACAAAATTTCCTTAATGAAAAAACATTGAGCTTAAGATGAATTTCTATCAAAATATCTGTACTTATGTTTACTCAATATGTATTTAGAGATTAATTCATAATTTCAATGTTTAAATGCTTTCAGAATTGAGGCATACAGTGGATGGACAAAAATATGGAAACACCTTGTGAAATGCATGTTTGAAAAGAAAGATTGATTTTAATGAAATATGTAGGTGGCGCTGGCGTTTTTGACTACTGACACCACCTATACAACTTCGTAAATGTGCTAAACAGTTCAGTTGTTGTCGGAGTACTGTTATGTGAGGTTGTCATTGCATTATGTCAGAGTTAACAGACTTCGAATGTGGGCAAATTGTTGGAGCACGTATGGTAGGTGCTTCCGTGAGCAAGGTAGCCGAGGTGTTTAGTGTTTCAAGAGGTACTGTATCGAAGATTTATTCCGCATATTTGAAAAGCGAAAAAACATCATCTGCTAAATCACAGCGCGGACGAAAGTGTGTCCTGAGTGATCGTGACAGACGATCATTAAAGGCAATTGTGACGAAAAATAAAAAGACAACAGCTGCAAAAGTTACTGCTGAAATGAATGTTGTGTTACCGAACCCCGTGAGTACCAAAACAATTAGAAGGGAGCTTCATAAACAGGGAATTGCTGGCCGTGCTGCAATTGAGAAGCCACTCATCAGTGATGCTAATGCCCGTAACACGAAAAGGTGGTGTTTAAGTCATAAAGCCTGGACTATAGAGCAGTGGAAGCGAGTAATATGGTCTGACGAGTCTTCTTTCACATTGTTTCCTACTTCTGGCCGAGTTTATGTCTGGAGAACGCCATCTCAAGCCTAAAATACAGACTGCTTGTTGCCAAGAGTGAAACATGGCAGGGGTTCTGTTATGGTTTGGGCAGCCGTATCGTGGTTCTCTGCTAGCCCCATGATAACTGTGTCAGGGCACATGACTGCCAAGACTTATGTGAACATTTTGGCCGATCAAGTTCATCCCATGGTACAAACTTTGTTCCCCGATGGTGATGGTGTCTTCCAAGACAAAGCCCCTGTTCACACAGCTCACATTGTCCAGGACTGGTTTTCTGAGCACGAGGAGGAGTTGTCCCATCTCCCCTGGCCACCACAGTCACCAGAGTCACCAGACCTGAATATTATCAAACCTTTGTGGTCTAAATTGGAACGGAAAGTGCATTCTCGTTATCCACCGTTATCTGAACTTGCCACCGTTTTGCAGGAAGAATGGTATAATATTCCCTTGGCAAACATACAGGAACTGTATTTATCCATTCCGAGAAGACTGCAAACTGTTTTATATGCCAACGGTTTTCCTACACCATATTAAGCAAAGAAACATATTTTTGTCCAACCCCTGTATCAAGTAATGCAAGCCTCTTTGTATATATTAAGAAGCTAATTCAGATTAAAAATTTTGAAAACAAAAAATAGAATGGTTTTAAAATTTTTTGAAGCATAACATACAGTACTTGTTTTAATCTCATGGATTTTTAAACATTTTTATCATTTTTTTTTAAACTGAGAAGTTCGCTAAAAACATTGATTTAATAAGCATGAAGTATGGAAATTTATTAAACTGAATCAGAATGTTTCATTTATAAATATGAAAGGAATTCAAAAAGAGGAAAAGAATATAGCAGCCTGTATTCTATAATTGACATTTAAAAGGTATATATTTGAATCGAGGAACTTCAGTGCAAAGTGACTAGAATAAACTGCATGAAAATGATTTCAAGTAAAATGACAACAAACTAGTTGTATTTGAAACTCTTCTCTCCTTGCTGGGAGAGAAGAGGGACTGATTTATTGATTTGCAGCAACTGAGAATTGCGTTTAAATTGAATATGTTATACCCATTGATTTTTACAGCTTCCTTATCTGAAATCTAATTAAGTTTTCATAACTAGTGTCCAACTGAATGATTGTTATACAGTGTTTGTAAAATTTCAGAATTATACAGAACTATTTCAAATACTTGTTTAAAAGTTTAAATTAAAATTAATCTTATTTGGGGAAAATTGTAAATTGAATAGAATTCAATAATGCTATTTGGTCTTTGATTTAGAATAAATTATTTCAGCATGTTTGCTAAAAAAATAACCATGGTAATTCAGGTGGCACATGTATGTGTACATTTAGATGTGAAAAGAATAGTTAAAAAATGTTCACATTTGCTTAATTAAAAATACAAATTCAGTGAACATTTTGAGAATGGTAAATGATTTCTCTCTATCAAAGCATACTCATTTTGCATCTTAATTAATAAAGTAACTTTAATAATGCATTTAGAAATTCTAATTACATTTACCCATAAACTTTCTTAAAGGTATTTTTAAAAAGGACTTTCTTTTCAAAAGCTTTACAGAAAGGCGCTTAAATTAGTAGATGTCATCCAAAATCTACAGCAAATCAAATTATTTTTGCTGCACTCTCCACAAAAAAATGTTACTTAATTACTTGGTTGATTTTCTTTATCTTCCATATTGCAAGCAATAAAATTTCACTAAAAATGTTCAAACAGTGTATGTATTATATACAGCTGTTTGTTTACTGAAGAATTATATATTTATTAAGTATTCAAAGAATGTTCCTAATCAAATAATCATTCACTTTAGGAAAATTGAATTTAGTATAAATATTTCTATACAGTTTATTATGTAGTAAAAATGCAAGAAGAGTTTTTTTTTTTTTTTTTTTTAGAACACAGATAAATGGGCTTTTTTTTTTTTTTTTTCCCTTTCTGGGCCCAGAAAGTTTAGGAATATTTTTGAAGATAAGAAAAACTTTTCTTCATTTTGACAGATTTAAAAATAATGTTTACTTGGCCCACTCTAGTGCAAGATCTCTGTTTCAGATTATGAAAATTCTAGATAAGATAAATTTACAAACCCTGTTCAGTAAATTTCATGTATTAGATTTTAGTATGAATATATTAATGACTAGAATATTATATAATGCATGTATCTGTTTAAATATTGACTAAAGGTGAAGTGGATACGACAACTGAAGAATGGTAGTTAATCTTTAGTTTGGTCACTGATGAATGAGCTGGCTGCTGTGAAGGGTATTTGTAATTTTTCACATATGTAAAATATGAATATAAGCCTTTTTTTTTTTTTTTTTTTTTTTTTTTTTTTTTTTTTTTTTTTAAAGTCTTGAAGACATCTCTCATGCAGCAGGTAGCTCTCCTTTGCTTTGTCAGTCAATTAAGTCATTAATAATCCAAACAGTCAACTAATCATTTAAATATCAAGTCAAAAAAAGTCTTTGATTTGCAAGGCAACATAACAATTTAGTATTAAGAGTTGTAAAAATATTTGCTACAAATTTTCTTTGATATTAAATTAAAAGAATTATTACATCATTTGGAAGAAAAAGGAATATCAGTCTCCCTCTTTTTAGTGTTTCAAATCCATATGAATTTTACAGTAGTCACAAACTGATGCAGTCTAAAATTCATTATTCAAATGTACATGAATACAGAATATTAGAAATTCAAAAGCATTTTTCCATGAGGCTCTAGAATGGGTCAAGTAATTAGAAATGATTAATATGTACATTCTTTCGATGGGCAGATGGCTGAATCTCGGAGCAGTGTCATAAAATTTAACATAAAACAAACCTTTCTCAGCAATATTCTCTCATAACCAATGGTTTCAGCACAAAAATGGGTGAATAATATATAGCATCTCAAAATATCCTATTGTAAATTGATGATGACAGAAGTAGAATATGTAAATGTACTTTACAAAATGAATATTCTATGCAATGAAATAGCATATATCACAATTTGGAGTAAACCAAATATTGTTCAGATAAAACCAGCATTCTCAATGCAGTTTGTTTATTCCGTAAGAAAAATGAAAAGCAGTGTTCATCAAATTAAGCTTTTTCACAGGATGATATTTCTACCATAGTATTATAGAACATTTATAGGCTTGAGACCATGGCCGTATTCTGTATAATCACAGATTTGTTTTTCCACAAACACTTAGGTTCCCCATTTTCACACTGGTTCATACCTATGACAAGTTTTAACTCAACTCCTTTTGCACACATGGACGGTTTTTTTTTTTTTTTTTTTTTTTTTTTTTTTTTTTTTTTTTATTGTTTTATTTTATTTTTTATTTATTTTAAAATCAAGCAGGTGGTTTAATTACATAGTCCTGTTCAAGAGGGCACTGCGATATGTTTCATTTTTCAATGTTTTTGCAGACACACCTTCTTTTGGCATTTCACCAGGACCCTAAAATCACAAATTAAAATATTCATAAATATATATAAAAGTATACATGTTCATGAATCAAAACTAAATATAACTATTTTTGAATAATGATTTCCCATATTTATGGCATTTAACAAAAAAAGCTTCAAATTTAAAAAATAAAATATTTTCACAATGATCTT